CCCCCGGGACAAGGCCCCGCGCGCGAGAAAAGATGTCGTACACAGACGTAAGATGTCTATCAACTTTCTGGGGTGAAGTATTCGCCACCTCCGGGTGTGCACTACGATAAAATTGGAACGATACAGAGAAGATTAGCATGGCCCCTGCATAAGGATGACAACAAATCGAACACACAGAAGACTACTTCGGTAGTTAACTATTTTTTTGAATTTTGAATTTGAATCGCTCTCACCTTTTTCCTTACATGTCAGCTATTTAATGTTGACCCTATACGACTCATGACCGCCTTGACTGACTATGACGTGTAATCAGTGTACAAACTATCTCTTGTGCCGATTCAACAGCATAGAGCAAAACATGACTGATGGGCCAACATCGCGCTGTCGCCACACCACTGCTGCTGTAACACCATGATTGCCTTCCTAAGTGTTGTAACACCAATACAAGCCCGAATGCTTTACTGAGCAGCTCCTAGACGACCGAGATGACTATATGAGAGCCATGCTCGTTTGCCAGTGTCTTATAGCTTTAGATAGAGATGTAATAGCCTTAGTATTTCGTTATAGTTTGATTATCTTGTATTGTACAAATTCTAGACTTGTCTTTAACTAGTTATTCGAAATTTGCCACTATAATGTACTTATAGCTGGCCTAAATCTCTTCTATGTATAATACTCTGTTTGAGCTCTTACGATATCTTAGTAACAATATTGAGCCAATCAGAGAATAGCCTTGAGTGACAGCAGAAACCTTGTCATTGACATAGAAAACCATGTCACTGACATAGAAAACCATGTCACTGACATAGAAACCTATGTCACGGATGCAAATTTACCTAAGGCGTCCCTTGGGCGCCCTTGGGCAGAATAGCATTCGCCACCCATTTCGTACGTCTATATAAGAGAGCCAGATCAGTTGTACAAATTCCCCTTTATGATTTATAAAACACGCTTGACTACCCAAACTCCTCATCCAGCGCCTTGATAGTGTTGACTAATAAACTAAGTAATCATACAGACTCGCTTGCTTAAGTGGTCTTGCCAATCACATTTAGTTGTCAGTTGTTTACTAGCTACAATACATTTTAGTCGTGAAGCATAATTGCTCTTGACCGACCCCATCAAGGACCATTACTAAAGTATTTAGCTTTAATATATCATAATATTCATAGCTATATACTACAACGTATTCAGGTCTCTGACAAGTATTCTTCCGTCAGTAGTTTGAGCAGGTCTTCTTCCCTTACGGTCGGGTCCAGTGCGAAGGCGGCGCATACCCATGGGTTTCTCAGAAACCTTTTGAGGTATTTGAGTAGTTTGCCGATGGCTTCCTCGCTGGATTGACGGCGACCGGCGGTTACTGATGGATGCGAATGCAGCTCTCGCAGCTGATCGATCGCGTTGACCAGGTCAGGTATAATCCGGCACGCATGGGCGGCCACTTCGGAGTACACCTGCGTCAAATGAAGGAATACCTTGAGGGACGGTTGGATGATTTCGAGGGCGTCGAAGACGCTTTTGTGGAACCTTGAGTATTTTCTTCCTGAAGAACGCGTTGTGAAAGACTCCACGGTCGCACGTAGTCGTAAAATGTGGGCAATGGCAGCGTCTTTGAAGTTCCAGCGGGTGATCACATCCTTCAAAGGGAGTAGCCCTTTGGGGGTTTCTAGATTCTTGACGGCCCTTATTCTCTCAAAGTCCTCCATCCGTTGCGGGCTGGAGTGTACGTATACACCCCGTTGATGGACCATGTCTATCGGAGACAGGCCATTCGCATTGGCAGACTGTTCCATCTCCTGTAAAAGAACGGGGTAAGGCGGCCATATCGCGGCATTTCGACATGCACATACGTGCTCTTCCTCGAGGTCAATAGCCTCACTCTCATCCATAGCGCTCACGTTCCTCTCATGGATCCCTTCCCCCTGTTCCCTCTCAAGATGTTCTAGCAGGACGGCATCATCCTCTGATGGCGTATCCTCCGGGTCGGCCGTCCAGAAGGGGGTCTCCCCTAAGATGCGAATTTCTGGGACATTTTCGGGCGCGTAAGCATAATCGGCAATGCTAAGGTTGGCTGACGGATGTTGCACGAGATTAACATGATGGGTAGCACGGCACAAGAGGTCATGACTCACATTCGCCGGCTAAGTACTTGCGGGCCGCTATGTTGGCTATATGGCAAAGACAGCCGACCATGTCGGCACCGTCGTAATCGACGAGTAGTTCTGTTTCGATGAGCTGTGCGAGTCGATCTGATGCTGTTCTGTTGTCCGATGCACTGTCACCTGTACCGGACCAAGCCGCTTGGCAATGCCGGCTACGTTGTGGAGTAAGTCGAAAAATTCGTTTCCCATTCGGACTCCTGTGTGTTTGCCTTTCACATGCAATGTAAGATGGCTTATATCGTCGTAATAAGATATATATATATAGATATAAGTATGTTATGTAACACCAATTAATACAGTATAAGTTCTTAAGTGGGCCAGTCAAATAGCATTATGCTTCACGACTGATTGTATCGTACAAGGTAAACTCCAACAACTGAATGTAATAAGGTAGACCGCTAAGTAAAGCGAGTCTCACCATATTGCTCAGTCTTGTGTTAGTACAATCAAGGCGCTAGACAGGAGGTGTAGTGAGATCACTGAACACTGAACACTGAACACTGAACACTGAACACTGAACACTGAACACTGAACACTGAACACTGAACACTGAACACTGAACACTGAACACTGAACACTGATCACTGAACACTGAACACTGATCACTGAACACTGATCACTGAACACTGAACACTGATCACTGAACACTGAACACTGAACACTGAACACTGAACACTGAACACTGATCACTGATCACTGAACACTGATCACTGATCACTGATCACTGATCACTGATCACTGCGCACTGCGCACCCGGTGTTCGAACACTGTTCGCCACAGTGACTTTTGCTTGTATTGTAACACTATGTAGCTTGTCCGTAGCAGTTCCTTAGTAGCCAAATAACTATATAAGAACCTTGCCAGTTTGCCACTCTCTTGTAACTTCAGCTAGATATGACGCGCAATATTGGATTTAGTAATCGGTGCAATACTTTAGTATCGGCATAAGGAGTCGCGACCTTACGTCATCAGACACTTAGTATCATTGACAGGCTATAAGTCGCTAAGACAGGTGAGTATTACATAACTACTGCGTAGCTCCGAGCCGCTAGTATTAGTTAAGTAGACTTAGTTACACAAGCAATAAGTAAGAACTTGTACAACTTGTATCTATTGAAACAAGTTGCAGCTTGCTCACAGATAGTAGCAATAAACACTCAACAGGAGGAGTTAGGTATGTCAAGCGTAATTCAATATATCATGGTGGCGAATATTACAACTGGATTTGGCTCTCTTATATAGACGTTCAGACTGGGTGGCGACAGCCATCCTTTCCAAGGGCTCCTAAGGGGCTCCTAGGGAATACAACTTGTATCCGTGACAAAGGTTTCGATGTCAGTGACATAGGTTTATATGTCACTTGATACTATTTTTAGAATGAAGGGACAAAATATAATTTGTATCCGTGACATGGGCTATTGTACATAATAGAGAGGCAGCACAGCTACTGGTACAACAAGATAATTCTCTTTAAGGGCCTATTACACTGATACTTCAAATCACTCAACCGCAAGGAAGCAGCTACCTTCGAAGCACAGGTCTCGTGTCATGAATGACTCCAGTCAGCATCAGCATCATCTGTTCTTTGTCCTGTCGGCTGATCCGGTTGTCTGATAAGCCCGTGGTTGGCTGACATCAAAAGTGTCAGCCATCACTCATCAATCATTTTGTTATTTGCAATCCGCGCGCCGCGCGTCGTACGATTCCGTTCTGAAGTGATCGAAGTCGCAGGTTACCTCGATCACTGTCCTTTTCCGTGTAACATATATAGCCAGGTTTCAGACTCGATTCCCTGTCGTCTTTTAATCCGTTCTGCTCTTCAGAGCAAGATCATATGTCAATACTATAGTAACGTGTTTCCGACTATAGCTTAGTGGTCCGAACCCATTACCTTGTCATAAGTCTTAGCCCTTGTCCTGTTCTCCTTTGAGGTCGTTGCCGTACCCAAGTGTTGAGTCTTAGCTCAACAGCCTCCCGTTCGTGACATCTCGTTGTAGTTTCAAGTTTCTATGCTCTCTTAAAATAGCCGAACTTGAAGCGCTTCAGAACTACTTGCTTCCTTGACCACATGTTTTTGAAGCCCCTAAGTCTAGTAGTTAGCCCAGATGACTATATGGTCGCATACATCTTACAGTTGTATCTTGACTAGCTACGTGACTTATAATTCACCGTTGGGTCTACAACTAATAACGAAGCTATCTAGAACGCAAGAATTTCTCACGATTCCCATGCGCCAGCTGTTCGCACACTGTTCAAACACCACATCGACTTTTTCTTATGTGGTAACATTATATGACTAGTTCCTAATAGTTCCTTGATAGCTAAATGACTATATAAGAGACGTGTTCGTTGGCCACCCCCTCAAAATTCAGCTGGATATGACACGCGGTATTGGTTTTCGTAATCAGCGCAATACTAATAGTATAACTATAAGGAGGCGCGACCTACGTAATCAGACACTTTGTATCATTGACAGGCTATATCGATAAGACAGGCGAATATTACACGAGAACTGCGTAGCTCCGAGCCGCTATGATTATTTAAGAAGGCTTGGCTACAGAACCAATAAGCTAGGAGTTGTACAACTTGTGTATTTTTAAACAAGTTGCAGTACTCTTGTAGGCCGTAGCCTAGGCCTTTAACACAGCCGGACTCGCGTTCGGACGCCTAGTTTCAGGTGATGATATGGTTATGTGATATATAGTATCTCTCAGGACAACGTTACACGTTATTTTACATTCAAGGTGTCCGTTTAAAGTCCGGCAATCTTCTAACTATATTCACACGTCAACTTCGTGTGTCGATATAGATTTTGCAGCCATTTTTCGAGGAGTCTCTGCCCGCTTAGCGCAGTGGTAGCGCGTGACACTTCTATCACCATTGGATAGATTCAGTAATGTCGAGGCCGCGAGTTCGATCCTCGCAGTGGGTTTTTTTTTCTCTTTTTTTTTTATGTTGACGACCCGGACCCGATGTTATCTTTTGTTTGAGACCGAGCTGGGATTCCCCTTGGAAAGCTTTTGCCCTAGTGATTGGATTAGTATTCATAGCCAGCTTCTCACTCTTATTTTATCAGTTTTCTTCGCTCCTCAGAGCAAGGTCGTACGTTAAGATTGGTATCGTTAAGTTTCTAGACTACTCCTCAAGGAACTCTAACTTGTTCGAAGATACAAGTTGGAGTTAGTGAGTTCGACCTTGCTGGTTAATTAATAGAGTCCACCTGGCTTATCCAGCATCTCGGGTCTACGCAATGGTTATGTAGTACTCGCCTGTCTTATCTTCTGTCCTTTCAATGAGATACTCTGTGTCTTGACGTTGTAAGACGCGCAACTCCTGTTAGTTGTGATGCTGAAAGTATGGCATTGATCTACTAATCTAATATTGTGTCCTCTCCTAAATACGATACAAAGAGTGGCAAAGGATACAGTCTCTTATATAGTTATCTGGTCATAGTGGCAACGCTATTGTGCCAAGGGAGCTGCTATCCTAGCGGTGTTGAAGGCGACGAGCCAGGCTCACTATTCGATATTTGGTGTTAAGAGCCGGTGCTACTTTATCTAAGGAGACTCTAACTCCATCGTATGATACAACTTACTTGAATCTTTACCTTACTGGTTAAGTAGTATCGCCTTCTCAACTAGTCCCAGCGGATCGGAGCTACGCAGTGGTTATGTAATACTCACCTGTCTTAGCGACTGCTTCTCGATAATACTCAGTGTCTTGATGACGTAAGGTCGCGATTCCTTAGTGATCCTAAAGTATGGTATCGATTACCTCATCCAATATTGCGTGTCCTAAGAAAGTTACAATTGAGTGGCAAAGGCAAAGGCCTGTATACATAGTTATCTGGTTTGTGTGGCGAAGCTAAGCTACTAGAGAAACGAGTCTACAGAAAGTAGTCATACTGAGCTGTGCTGTGGTGTGGTGTGGCGAGTGGTGACGAGGCGCGGTGAGACTCACCTCAGCACAGCACAGCTACAGAAATTCTTTTAAGTTACCAATAGGCCAGAGTCGGTCAAGAATTCAATATCTCTACAGTTGTCTTCTCGCGCTCTAGATGTGTTAGACTCACGGTGTACGGATACTAGCAAGAGGTAATTACAGCTAGGCGGCTCCCTCCGGCCTTGTCGATACCTGCAGTTACCGACGTCAAGGTCTGTAACCCCAGTTAAGTGATTATGCACACTCACGAGGACGGAGCTGCTCCTAGGTGACAGCCACAGGACACGGGGTCAGAATCTCCTGAGATCGTGTAGCCTGGGAGTTGCTGCATGGTAGAAACGCCGGGGAGAGTTGCAGAATGAGTCGGATTATATAGATCTGGCGACGAGCTGGTGGACAATAGGAATCCCTGAAGGAAAACGCCAAGGACCAGGAGACCAGGAAGATCCTTGAGGTTCAAACCTTAGCTGGTGTGACAGACGACGACAACCCCTGTCACATCACACAGACGAAGACCAGGTCCTGATAGTACAGTTGATAGTGCCACTGGGAACAATGGCAAGACTATCTTCGGGCTCTGAGAGTCTGAAACGATCGAGAGACCGACGACCGTGAGCACAGAGCAGCTCCGTGACCTGCTGGAGCGCCTTACATAAGCCCACGTAACTGCCATTATTCGCTAGGTAAAAAACCGCTAGTAAAAATGGTTTAAATTTTACGTCTTTTACACCACTGATAAGTAAATAACGTAAATAACGTAAATATGTGAACCCCAACCCTATCAGTGGCGCTTCGGATGGTGCGCCCCGATTCTCTGCACCAGGAGTAGAGGAACGGAGATTTCATCTAGTGTCCGCTCTGGTTGTAAAATCCTGCAGCAGCGCTCACTCTCAGGTGCTGGCAGCTATAGACACCTGTAGTTAGACGTTTAGACAACTCAGCCTGTTGAAGCAAGAGTTTCCGTCTGAACCTTCTTCTTCAACAGCGCCACGACATCCCTCATGTCCAGTACAGTACTTCAATTCTCAACTGAGCAGCTGCTAAAGCATCCAGGTGTTTACGATTTGCGTTCGTGCACTTGTTGTTTACATTTCATGTTCCATGTTTACAAAGTCCGGCGGCTGCGGGTGCAAATAAGGGGCCAAGCACATAAGCCCCTTGGCTTGACTCCTGTCTCCCTGATTACCTGGTTATTGGTTACGATTTACAAGGCCGCCCAGAATGTATTCGCATTAGCTGCTTGCAGGCTTGCAAATAGGAGTATTTGCTGCTAGTATAAGAACTCTGTCGTTCCGCACAATCGTGATGAGCTAGCCGCAACTGCTTGATACAGCCTATCCTGGCAGGCGACTGCTTGCAAGACCCAACAACACCCCGACATCATCTTAAACCACCAAGCCTCACTTTGCACTGCTACTATTTGACGCCGTCAACATCTTAGCAAGATTCCGCGAGCATGATGTATCCATGTCATTCTCGAGTCAATGGTGCGGTAAGTCTTCAGTGGCGCTATCCGAACACTCGTGGATGGCTGACGGGATTCTTCTTTTCCATCTATTGGTCAATAGAGCGGAACGCTGTACGATTCCGATGGCAATGTTTGTACAACCTGGAGAGCTTTGAATGACACATCCAGGTACTTGATTATTGCAGGCGTAACCATAGGTGAGTGTGTCCGTCCGCGACCAATGCGTCGCTGTTCTAATTAATATTTGGGTTGTCCGATTCAGTTGGTGCATCACTTCTATCGCTTTCAATCTTCGGTATCCTTCGATATACTCGGAAGCGCCAGCGAACAAAGGCTCATGCACAAATTCCTGAACTTCCACGCATGACTATGGCTCATCAAGGCTATCGAAATCGCAGTCGTGGTATGTCGACCTCTTCAGTTTCTCGCGACGTGAACAGCCACGGCTACGACATGGTTCATGGGCGCAAGACCAGATCCAGTAGCCTCTCCTCGACCCAAATACCTTCTCCGTCACCTCTTCGTCAAGTCTGCGACTCACCAGCTGTTTCACTATACCCCAAGGATCACGACGTTGAGTCGCTGCGCGACCAAGACTATTCTTACAACGATGCGCACTCTGCCTTGCATTCGTCTTCTATTGATCGCCCGATCGACTACAGAGGCGATCGCTATCACGCTCATTACGCACCTTCAGGGATAGAGCCCACAGAATATTTGAAAGAAACAACTTTACGCAACAACACGGCGGATGTCAGGAACATTCCCCACAATCGTGAATAGCACAGCAGGCTCTAGAGCAAAAGCCGCTGTATCCCCGCCTTTGCGCAATCAACACTCCTTATGCTTCATGGACTCTTTAAACTGACACGCAAAAGTTGCCTCTAGCTTGTATGATGAAAGAGTGTTTCCTCTATTGTAGCGGTCTATCATGAAAGGATGATGCATGTATTCGCCGCCCCAAAGGCTCGGTTGGCAGCTTCGCGCAGACTGATAATCACAAGAGCCAAAGCACATAAGAAGAATCCATCCTACAGAACTGACACTTAGCTCACTTGGCAGGCGCGAGAATGGCACATTGCTAGCGATGTTGTACCCTGCAATCGAAATATGACATCGCACGAAACGACTTGACTACTCTAACACAACTTGGCACGAATCCCACGCCTAGTTTCAGCTAAAGAGCGCGAGATTTAGCAGGTCGATTTTACGGCCGTTGTTGACACGACACACACAAAGTAAGACTGCACAGCAGGATTACGCTTCAAGCCACGCAAGTGCAGCTCCCAGCATGTTCACCACGCATATACGCTCTTCTCTGGACTCATCGGTATTTTATTTGCCTTCTCTATCGTCTCCTGGACCATCAAGTTGATCTAGCAAAGACGGCAACGAAGCAGAAAAGGCTTTAGCGTGAGAACCTGGCACTATGTTATCAGTAAGGCGACGCTTACATCGATCACACCCGTCTCCAACGAACGGATCGGTCGCAGTCCTTCCGGTGCTCGCCCTGCGTCGTTACGCAAGGCATGATCTAGCTGCGCAGTGTTTCTACGTTCTTCTGTACGTCTGTCGTCTTGTACAGCTTTCCCCTTGCCTTTGCCGATATTGCGTCCAAGCTCTGGAATAACCGGCGAACGGTGCCTCGTTTGGGAAGGATGTAGACCGTCGGATTTGGTAGCGGGAGCCCACAATGATGGCCCTTCTGGTGGATGATAAGGCTGAGCAGCATCGTTGTACATGTTAATAGCGCAGGAATAAAGCAGGTAGCGGAAGGACATACTGGCTGCCGTGATGAGAGTTTCGCGTTCACTTGGTAATCGTTGTAGTCTATCACTGGCCTCATATCAGGCTCTTCATCGTTGCATGTAATGATGACGGCATATGTCAGGTCTGTCGAGGCCCAGAAAGTCAGTATGGCTGCTGAAGAAAGTGAGCAGTCGTGCCACTCACCCTCGTCCGGATCGTTATCCGTCAGCCCAGTCTCGAGCGCTGCCAACCGCGTTAAAAACGCTTGAAACATGAGCTTCATTTGTCGCTGGGTTGGAGCACGTAAAAGTGTCGAACTGTCTTTATCGGCTTCTGAGGGAAATACGGAAAGATCCATGTATTCGAGATCAAAGATGAATCTCTCGAGTGGAAGGTTGCTCTCGGCGGACTTGATGATAAATGTCAGACGTTGCAAAATTCCCTAAACGGTGTGGCACTCCATAGGTAAGCAGAGATGAACAGATGATGCAACCTCGTATCAGAAGCTTACCCGTTTCATCTCCCGACCCGCCGCCTGGAGAAGCCCGGCAATATATCCCTTCACTCCAGGATGTCTATTCTGCCATACCGAAACCCCATATGCTTTAGACAGTATAAAAGTCTCCCGCGGGTAGATGCCACGGATGTAGAGGATATAGTGGAAAGCTACCTCTACTATTGATCGTGGAGAGATCAGCAAGGGTCAACAGTTCCATTACGAACAAAGTCTTACAGAAATCTACCATGGTCTCCACCATGACTGCGAGAAAAGA